CGCTTTTCCAAGTGGCCTCTTCGGTCGTGATTTCTGTTGCGAAGCGAGGGCAATGTTTGATTTCTGTGTTGTTGTTGTTGTTGTGTTGAGCGAATCAGCTGTCCGTAGAATCGCGTAAAATTAGCAGAAAGTTGGCGACAAGCGTGGCACCTCGTCTCAACTGACGGCGGCGCTGGAGCCGCTCAGCTAGCGGTCGAGAGAGTGTGGAGGCGCTGGAGGAGGGGTGGGGCTGCTAGGAGGCTGGCGCCAATGGCTGGGGTATTCGCTGTTTTCCACAGAGTTTGCCAGACACCAACACCACCAGATCATCACCAGCAGTAAAATGCCAAAGTAAGTCCTTCATTCTCGCATTGTCCAGAATAGTTGAACCAGCGGCTGCCCATTTCCCCGGGCAGTTCCTTCGAGAGGAGCGAGAAGTTGAGTGAGATTCTGTACAATTCCCCCCTTGTTCAACACTTCACCCTCCGAACTTGTTCACTTCCCATCCAACTGATTCACAGTGACAATCGATCGATGCAATTTGGGCGAGTTCGAACAGGTTCCTCTTTTTTGATAGGGCAAACTCACCCCTTTCCAATCATAGTCTCCCCTGTGACAGTTCTCGTCTACCCTCTTCAATGCTATGCCCACAGAAAATGCCGTTCCATGTGCTCGACTACTGCTTGTCATACATCGTAATAATGGGTGCATGTGGCTCAGAGATCGGATTGTCAAATCGCCAGCTCCTATATTTGACAACTGAATTGATTGACTCCCTCCCCATAGTTTATGGTGCGCCAACTGTGACCCACATGGCTTCGTTAACGGGCACGTCGTCCTCCGTCTGTTCGCACCGTGCGCCGGTGATAATGGGAAAGAAATGAAATGCGCACACGATGAATTCACGAATGATGACGACGAGACCCATGTGCTTGCTATTGCTATTCCTGCTTGCTCAAGCAGTTGCCGAGGCGAAAACAACAGCTAACGAGAAGAAGAAGCGTTGAATGTCCGCAATTTAAATCAATCACTCCGGAACTGGACCATTTCCAAGCCATAAATCTTACCTAACTCGAAATAACTTACCAGAAATGCAAGGACGGGTCAATCTGAACACCTGGATGTGCAAGGAATGATTTTTGGTCTCTAAGAAAATGGCTCTCAAAATGGAAAAGGCGGAAATCAGGTGTGGACGTCCCCTCCAGCTAAGAATAAGTCGCAAAAGAACCGACTGTTCTGACGGACAAACAGAGACGCAGAGTATTATGGCCGTCTATAACAATAGAAATGATGTATATGTGCCAGATGGCTTTCTCTCGAGAGTGCACATCAGGAAATAAGACTCACCGCCCACTGTGAGCGATCAGTTCCGTCGTTTTCGTCATCCAAGCCACTCTGTTCCTTTTGCATAGCCCAAGCACTTGCCATCAGTTTGACCAGGGTGGGCGAAATCCATGCGTAATTCTCTCGCCCAAACTTCGTTACCGATCACTGGGAAACACGGATTTGCAAGAGTTTGCGACCTCCCACCAGACACCTCGGAGTTTCTCGAGGTGCTAGGAAAAAGTCCAATTAAGGTTTGGTCTGATGTTTCTACAAGTAAACTCTTCGCATACCTAATCGGCGATCCAGTCGCAATAGCAATTGCCGAGCAGCAATCACAAGTGGGACGTTCGCGACTTTGAGGTTGACTCAAGGCCGAAGTCTTCCAGGAGGACAATCTTCATCGCTCGTGTATATAAGTGGGCATTGACTGTGCCTGTAGTGGGCAATTGAGTACTATAAGTATGCCCTGCTCGGATTGCAGACCAATTGCAGGAGCTGCATAGACGTTCCATAAGTCTGCGTGGAGGTGGAAATTGCCCAGCTTTGAAAAAGTGGGAGAAATCGGAATGGAACGGGAAACCAGAGAGGCGGGGACAGCGTCGTTCCCACCTCAATCGTATTTTGGCGCCTCAACAAGTTGCAAACCTGTTGAAACGTGTACATCGGCTGGCTGCAGAGCCCTCAACACGACAAGCCCAGGCGTCACCCCATTCAGTCCCTCTGCGCCTCCCCATCTCCCAGCCCGTGTAGTTCGCCCCTGTAGAACCTCGATCCCCACCGGTCTTGTTTGTGATCTGGGCATCAGAACTGGTGCTTAGCACTTCACATACCCCTTTTGTCATGCTCTGATTCATCGCAGATGACAGTCCAAGAGGCGCCCCATATTAATGGCACATTTCGCGCTTCGATGTCGTGATTTATGTTCGTTTCAATTCCTTCTGATGGTGCATGACCATCTCCTCTCATCGCCTTTTCGGAGCAGTCAAAAAATCAAGCCCCCTCTCTGTGAGCTAGCCGATTAAGCTGCAACTTGTGCACTTGGCTATTGATTTTTGTTGTTAATTTTGTGTGACAATTTGAAATAGTGGTTGTATCGCTTCGTGCCAGTCGTTGTGGCAACGAGCACATTATGTTTTCGTTCTATTGAATGTAGTGAATTGATATTGTCTCAGTCAGTGATTAGTGGGCTCGATTGCACGGACTGCAGGCTGTCGTGGCATGGAATGTCCGTCCTGTTGGGGCCGTGCGCCGAACGAGAAGCCATCCATTGTGCCCTCGATTTCTGTGATGCTTTTTGCCAAACTATTCGTACATTAATGCCAGCTGCCATGATTTCTTTCTTGATCTCGTTTTTACCGCTACAATCCATTTCACGACATTTTACGGAGGGTGGTAAATACTCAGTTGGAAATTTGTCACTTTTTGGTTTTCTTCTACGGTTCACCGGATGTAGTAGCAGCTGCTCAGCTGTGGACCATTCTCAAAGGATATTTCGCCGTCTAGTCAGGCTTCATTTCCAAATCGCAGGCATATCCCCAGGTAGCCGACACCCGGGGGGAAGTACAACCTGCTGTTCGACCTGTCACAATTTCAAAGACCAGTGTGTCGTCCCATCTGCTCTAGCGAAGTTTGCGATGGGGCGAAATTCAAGAAGCCCTTCCCGTACACTGTGTTACACTGGCAAGTAATTCGAAACGTGCAACCTGGGAATCGAAGGGAAACACGAGAGGATGAGTTATGTCGTTGGCTGTTTTGAGGGCACGTGAAGCTGGGCGTGCGATCTCGTCCACGTGTCCACCTGGACCCCGCTTTGGCGCCAATTAGCTGTTGTGGCCGTCCTACGCTGACCCCGTTGCCGACAGCGTTTTGTAGTGGATCGATAACTGGCTCCACCCATCAGCTCGCGGGCACCGTCAGCTAGCTCGTCACAGTGCACATGCCCTGCGGCGGTCCCGTCACGATCGCAGCACCAGCAAGCCATCATTGTTCCCCTGACAGCCACGACGGCTACGGCTTGCTACTCCGTTCGCTTGAATTGTGTCCTCTTTCGCCCCAACGAAAACAATTCTCAATTACCCCGCGCGCCGGCGCAATTCAGCACCATCAATTAGTAATGAAGCTGTGAATACTTGCACATCGATCCGCCATCAGCTACAGCCTTCCAGACCCTTCAATTTTCCCCTTGGCGCATCTGCTCCCTCCCAAGGGCCTCTCCGACCGACCCCTTGTCGTCCTCAAGTTCGCTTTCGATGATCTTCAGGTCGACGATTTAGTGGATTTTGAGGATTTGAGGGCGGTGTGGGTGCGTGAGCAGCGAAAGACAACTTTTGATTGGTGGGGAGAGTTGCGAGGGATATCGATCGCTTCGTTGAGGGTCGCCCGCTCCATCCCCACACTCACACTCGCCCACCCATCCAACTCACGACCATCACTGGCAGCTCGACCATCTGATCCGGATGCCAGCGATCCGCCGTCCCCGTCCGACACCCACTGAATTCTCCCTCCATTGGGCTTCGCCAGCATCGCCGCACCCACCACGACCTTCACCGCCACAACACTGCGATCGCTCTCGTTATTTGCTATTCTTCTGGCCGCGATATCTCCCAGTTGTTTGCGTGCATCCATCCGAGAATTCTCCTTATTCCTCCCTTAGGGGCTGTAACTCATCGAATCACTTCTGTTATGTTTCCGTCACTGACGTTTTTGGATTTGTTTGCCTCCTTTGGTTGGTACGTTTTCGTTTGCTCGTCGTTATTAGAGGAAGCGATCGGATGCACTGGCTGCTCCGACCCCGAAACTGAATTACGCCGCTTTGTGGACGCATGCGAGTGTAAATCCGTCATAGAATCCATTCAAATGTTCTACTTGTATAATCACTCTGGATTTCTCTCTTTTCAATTATTGGATCAGTTGGCTCAGGCTTTGTATCGTTCATGCAAATCAACAAAGTGGAAAGCTAACACTAAGCTGTTCTCTTTCTTGTATTTTGTTGATAGAACTTTTTCAGTGGGTTTCGAACTGGTAGATGAGTCGTTCCAGCAGATTGACTTTATACTGTCGCTCCGAGTTGATTCAGTTTCGTTAAGTATTTATACGTGTGACGTTTGCTTAAACGATGTCAATGGATACGGCTGAGAATGACAGGGCCATTGATGTTTGGCAAATATGAGCGGGTGTCCCTCTTTTGAGTGCAAACCTCAGAACTGCCTTGTCCGTTTCAGTCGCATTTCTGAGATCATCAGGCCTAGAACTTGGATGGCTAGATCCCGCGGATACTTTTTTTTTTCAACTGACGGAGAGAATTAGTGGGGCGGTTTTCATCGATTAAAGCTGAGGACAATTCCAAGGCTTTGTTGAGCTTGCCGAGGCACTGAGGAAGAGTCCGAGCTCCTTCATTTGTTTGTCCTTTCTCATGGATTGTTCTTGGTGTATTAGAGCTCTCCGTTAATTGTGTTTCATTGCATGCTGCAGCTGGACACATTCGCCATCCCAGCCGCATCCAATCGCGTCCATTGATCTTTCTATGCCACATTTTTCTCGTTTTTCGACCTTCGATTCTTTTACTTATGATTCATTTGTTATTCTTCTCATCCGCCACTTACAGATATCTTGGAAAACTTTTTCATATTCCAGAGAGTTTTGTAAAGTTCTCGAGCAGTATAAATATAAGTACTGCTCGTGGTTGATATACTCTGATGACTTCTCATTGCAGCCCTGACGCACCGGTGAACCGAGTTACGGTTACATCGGACCTTGTCCTGCCGGAATCTCCCAGTCCGATATCACCACCAAATCAAATAGAGGAAATCCGCAGGGTGACTATCAGTCCGCCCTTACATTCAAAGTGAGTTTTTATGATGATTGGTGACAGTTTTATCTTGTAGACGATGTTCACAATCGAATTATAAATGGTTTAAGAAAAATGGCTGAACATGAGAATCCTTTTCGACCGGAAGAGGTGCTATACCATGAAGTGGATCCGATAGTGGAGCAGTACATGCAGAAGCCATTCCCTCCAAGTCGACCCGGAAGTGCCGATAATACCCCTGTAAAGCAACAAAAAGACGGGTAAGGTTTTTGTCATTTTTTCGCTTTGAGTTGTATTTTTTAAATGAATTTTATATTTTAGTTCATTATCATCCCCAGCCTACCTGCAAAATGGACTATCAAAAGAGCAATTAATGGACAACGAAAAGGCACAGTCACAACCACTTTTGTCTTCAGAACAACGACAGTCGAGTCCGGAGAAGAGGTATGCACCCTTTTCAGCTTTGGACTGGTGTTAGCATGAGGTTATTGTTAGGTGCGTGTGAATATGCTGCGGCGTAATCGCGGACTTATCGTTAGTCGCTAGTCTGTCTGTCCAGTCTGAACAATCTGCAAAATGTGATTCCAGCGCTGCGACTACTGATTTCACCGATGATCTGCCACCGGCGGGTAAAGTCGAATTGGTGCACGTGAAGAAGAGGAAATGCGGTTGCTGCACGGTGCAGTAGTCCTGCTGCTGCCAGCCAACCAGTCAGTCAGTCAGTCAAGCCAACCACAGCCACGAACAACCATGCCGTCCGTCCCTGTCTCTCCGTTCATCTCTTTCTTTGCGTCTCTTATTTCTCTTATACTGTGTCTCTATTAGCTCTCAGGTGAGAGTATTCCAAAGAGCGCACGCGCTGCGTTAGTGTGATAGCCTTTAAAAAGCCGCATATATAGTCATAATCTATCTCTGTATTGTTCGAAAGGCGTGAGGATGAGTGTATCGGTCGCCCCTACGCGCATAGTCACACTCATGTTGTTCGTCAAGCACACACACGCACATTCTCCTACCGTCACCACCGCTCTTCTATCTCCTATACTGTACCCTATCCCACCGTTGTTAGAGTATTGTACCCCGTGTGAGGACAGTTGTACATAATTGGTGTGTCGAGCTATCTCCTACCGGTGTCCTTACCTTGTTGTTGCCCTGAATATTCTCTGAGTTGACTTCTTCCGCCGCCAACACTCCGACGGCGACATCGCTCACGCTTCTGTTCTGCCCCGCCGCCTCGCCTCTTGTGTGCAGCCCTTTTCTGTCAAGATTTCGTCCTGCACCACCTACACAACGAAAACCGCGCAGGTGTGACCCAACAAGACACAAATCCCGAGACTCACCCGCCGTGTTGTGTTCGGAGGAGTCGGAGTCGGACTCATGATGATGATGATGATGGTGATGATCTTATCGTATGAAACACTGTCGGTCCCGATTGATTCGTTTGCGATGATTGCTTCTGTGTAAAATGTTCAACGAACAAAGTAAACTTACATCTCAAATTGCCTTTCTTGTCTTCTGTTAGTCATTGTGCTTTTTATTTGTTCATAAGGTTTTATGGGCCGGTTAAAACATGCTCGTTGGCCGAATTTCTCCGTCCATTCATTCTGGTCGCGTTCCAGAGAGTGGAATTGCACGTCGTTTGGGTGTCGCAAAGTCTCCATATGAGCTTTGTGTCAAAAAAGCAAACCATCGAACACTTCCCTATATGAAGAAATAATGAATTCTTTGAATTGAAACCTTCTGTATGTGGAGATATAACTAGCCCGCAACATGTTGGGGTATGTTTTGACCATCTTTTGCCTTTATCGTTAACACAATTCTTCGCTGAGTTGTTCTTGAATGGGTTGAAAAAACTGAGAGTGAGTGTGAAGTGCTGAGTTTTGAGAGTGAAGAGCTGAGTTTCCTTCGATAACTATCTGTGTGACATTTGTAAGTGCTTTAGAAATTGTTTTATAAAAACTCATTCTTCTGCTTTACATTCCTTGCTCGGCGGTAATATGTATGTTGGACGCCAGCCAAGTTGAAGGAACAAACGGTGAACAACATTTCTAAAATTTATTTTCAGTTAATAAAAGCAAAGTGCTAGAATGTTGAGTTAACCCAAAGTTGGTTTGAAGTTGCATATTTGCTTTTTCTGTTTTTTCTTTCTTTTCTGTAGAGATTAATCCTTCACCCAGTCTCTGATTTGTTATGGAAGCAAAAAAGACTTGTCAGTGAGTTGCACTATTTCAAATGTCCAATTCCAAATCAGGGAATAGGCGATTTCGAGTCTAACTGCGTCAAGTTTGTTGGACGAGGTAATGCAGATGGTTTTTATTTGAGTCTCATTTCCGTAATGTACCCGCTGACCTGCAGTAATGAGTCATGAGGAAGTTTTTCTCGATCATTTTTTGTTTGAAGCGGTCATTTGAAGGCACTTGGTTGACCAAATCGGATTATTCACTCTCATAGTCATGGTTATTGGTTTTATGCTTACGTGTGCTGAAAACTAATAGCTTATGAATCACTTGCAATAATAATTATCAAAGTGAAAATGGATTATGACTAATATGATGTGTTGTGCGCCAAAGTAAATGAAGTAGCTCATATCAGAGTTAGTCATAGTTCATTTTGATTTTCGGTTTTGCTGTTGTCTAAATGTATTACGATTTTCATGTAGAATGGAGGGGATACACTTTCAAGGGAACGGCTCTTCCTTCCCTCCTCCCTCCAGCCATCTTTGTCTGTTCCTTTCCTCGTGTCTGTTTGGTGGCATTTTCGGGCTAGCTCAGTCGCGCGTTAATCTCCTCTCTTCAAGAGTGCTTCTTATAAAGTGCACTCACATGTTTTCATTTTCTGAGCAAAACAGCTTTTACACTGCCCAATTCTTCAACCATTTGGAGCTCCGTGACTTGGTTAGCAAGCAAAAAAAAATTTTCGATGTGCTTGGTGTAGACATCACAGACACTGATCGAACCCCCATAGGCATAGAACCCACAAAAAAAGCCATGTTGAAAAAAGTGAAGGCTTCCAACAACCTGTAGTTTCCAAGACGAGAAAATAAACAAATGCTCGAGGTTATGGAATTCCACAGGTTCACATAGAGGGGAGAGACAATTTCTTCGGTGTGAATCCCGTTTCGGGGTTCGCTCGACCGCGATGCTTTTTCCACTCAAAAGCGTAGTAGCTTTTAAAATGCCTACGTGGCTTGCTCAATGATTTGAGATGATCAACCAATGAACAAGTTGGTGCTTTCTTCTTTCAAACAAGATTGGTGTCGCCTGCTGATTGGAAGGTGGCCTGGACCACACGGATAGCCATCAGGGGTTCGATCCTCGGACCGTGTGTCTGTAATAGTGCGCGACTTGCCACCACTTCCTAACTTTACCACAGCTTGACGTCGAAGGGGTTATTTCTAGGCCTTTTCGCCTGAGCTTTTTCCATAGTATGTTGGTGGTTCGTTCCGATGGCTCAGATGCATCGTAAGTATGGGCTTAATGCGCGTAGGAAACAACATGTCAACGTCGATATCAAATTTCACCCTTGGGGTGGGTTTGAAGCGAGAAAGCGCGAGTCTTCAATACAAATATGTATTATTTCGACAGTCTATTTAACTGTCGCTTTTGGCGTAGGAAAGAAAAAAATCTGAGAAAAACACTCGACGGAGGCAGATGAAGATAAGCCATTTCTTGCCTACGAGACATTTGAATATTCAGGACATCCCCGATTTCTTGGTTCATTTGAGGATTAGCATAGCAACCGGTCCATGAAATCGCTGGTTCCAATTATGTGATTATTCGGAAAGTAGCAAGGACACAACGGCACTGCTGTGTGTTTGCTCGAAAGCGTTATTAGATGAAAGCGACCAGAGGGTTCAACGGATAATGACAACGAAGGATAGCATGAGTTGGTGAGAGTGAGAATCACTGGACATATGTGTAGGGTTGTTCGGAAAGTTTCCTCCGGTTTTCAAAGCTGACTGTAACCAGGAACCTCACAAACAACAAATTTGTTTATCAGGGAATATATATATTCTTTCATTCTGCCCAAAAAAGGCTTGCCATCTTCATGGAAGATTTTGTCCCATTTCCATAGAAGGTTCTAGACTTAGAGTCGGAAAGACTCTTTTATGTGCATTCTGCAGTTCTCCATGGAACCAAACGATTTTCCTCAAGCAAATTGTGCAGAATTCTGAACAAATAATACCATGATGCTGATATGTTGAGACCATATGAAGAATGCGATAGCCCCGTCCAAGCTCCAGTAATTTCTAATGATTCGTCAAAGATACGTGCGGTCTGGGGTTGCTCCGATGGATGACCACACCTTCACGACTGACTCGCTCTGGGTTCTTTTGTCCTATTGCTGCCTTCGACTGGATAGCTCAACACATTTCCTTCAGAAAAGTTTGTTTGGCCGTAAGGTAACAACTCACAATAGATAGCATCTTTCCAGTCTCAAAAGCAATGGAGCTTGACCTTCAGCGCATGGATTTCCATTTTTGACTGATAGTGGTGACTTAACGGTTTAACGGGATCACATCAAGATCGCTCCCACTCCAGCTGTGGTACACAATCCATTTCTAGCCTCACGTCATCATGCTTTTCAGAAAGTGCTGATTTTTGTTACGATCCAACAACGACACCCTAACGAAAACGCAAGCCGACGGGCTGCAGTTGCTAAGTTTGTGTGGTACCCAAACGTCAAGGCGGTTAAGAAACCAATTCCATCAAAACGGACTTGGATTGTCGAATTTTGGCGTGTTGAGCCTTTCCGCTGGTTCGCGACTAGTTATGTGACAAATTCTTTCAATTAACATTTTTACTTATCACTCTCAACTGAGGATGGTCTCCTCGATCGTTGCCGATCTTCGAGATGATTTCACCCGTCTAAGCTTTGCAAGCCACTACTAACCCACTCTCTGTTTTGATAGAAAATCGTCTCTGTGGATATCGCATCACCTCGCTGTATGGGTTGCACTCTTGCTTTCGAGATGGAAGAAAAGCACCAAGTATCAAAAACGTTCTCGACGGAACTTCAAATTCACACCTGTTCTTCACAGACAGAACCTGAAGGCTCTTAATATATTTCAGAAGGAAATACAGAGGGATATGTTTCTATTTCTATTCTGAAAATATGGTTGTCCAATTTTTTGTTGAATAGTTGATAAACTTAGTGCATCCAAAATCCAGCGGGACCCTTCCAAGCGACCCATAGTCTCATTGGTGAGATTTCTGTAACTTCATTCCCACAATGCTTTCAACCTACCTCGATAGCTGATGATAGAATTACTCTATATCGGAGACGATACGGGCACTGGCCTCTTATGTATAGTAAGCGGGATGGGTCTCAGGATTTGAGATCATTATCTTTCCACTGGATCCTTTACACGGAACAGTTTGTGAGCATTTGCGAGATTGCCTACTAACGGATCGGTTTTTGAAGGGTTGTTGATCAGCATTTATGTTATCAAGAATGTTATCAAGACCTGAAGAGCTGTTGATTACTTTAAAGTAGTTTCCGCAAGAATAATATTAGATTTAGCTACTCGTATCTATGTAACTCTGCAAGCTAAATTGAAGCCTCCAATTTTCAGTGGGGAACCTTAGGCGTGGTCAGATGCGGAATGGTTTCGTTTTCCCTTGTCTTTCTTCTATTCCGGGACCTACTGTAAGTGAAAATCAGGTTGGGATCCAGTTGGCAGTATAGAAC